TTCTCAATAAACCATTTTTCTCAGCTCTTTTGTTTTGTGGTGCGTGATTACCAATTACCATCTAGATTGTATGTCCAGATTAATTCGAGAATTTGAATTCTTAAGGCTCATAGTTTCTTCAAAGAAATTGTTGTTTTTCCTCAGACAAGTTCTTTCTGTACCTCCCCTGATCTATCCAGGAATCCCTACCAAACATGGACCCAGATGATGCCCTCCTTTTGTTAGAAGCTGACCAACCTCAGTTGTAATCTTAGAGGAACTTCACGTAGTTCACTGTGCTGAACCGGGGCAAACTCATAATTGGCACATCCTGGTAGCCAGGGGACACAACTCCTGACATATTGTCTTGCAACAATTATATGTGCTGGAACTACAGTGAATATGTATAAGAGACTATAATGTTTGTTTGTTGTTCAACACCGAAATCTACAATATTCCAGCCATATGGCTACATGTTAATGGTGGAGTCAGTCTAAGTAAACTTAGGCTCAGAATTATTCGTTACACTGCTATACTGAGTCTCACAAAACCTTATGGAAGGTCGCGTCAGGTAACCTTTTCAATTGACCAATCAGAACACAGCTAACCAAATCGCGAAAAGTTGACATTCGCAAATACCTTTTGAACTTTTACCTCGAAAAAGTTTTGTACCCGAACGATTCCGAATGCTATTTTCCGTACGATTGCTTCCGAGTGATGCACATGGAGCACGCCACAACAGTGAGTAAACAGTCACAGAAAATAGCGTTTTGTCAGTATTCAAGGGTGTCAGCTTGCGGAAATGTTAGCTAATGATAACCATGTCAACAGAAACCCCAAAGCGTATATTCTGCAGGTCATATATCTGTGTTTTATGCGGGTTTTCATTTGTTGTGAGATCAGTGTTGGTGACCGGGGAAGAGAAAATCCATTTTGTAAGTCCCGTCGAACCCTAAATAGTAGCCGTTGTCTGATTGGTTAAATCCGTTCGGTCGTCTCGGGTTTGATTGGACGGTCATAGGTCGCTCAAAGGTTACCTGACGCGACCGTGTAACGAATAATACTGAGCCTAAGTTTACTTAGACTGATTGTGGAGTCTGAATCAAACCAGTGATCGATATTATGAGCAACTCTACATGACAACAAGCTAAGGTCACAGGGGACCTATATATAGAGAGTGAGTAACGTTCTACACCGCTTTTAGTAATATCACGGCAGGGGACACCAGAAATATCTTCACACACTGTCCTCATGTGGGAAATCTAACCTGTGTGACAAGTGGACGCTTTAACCCCAAGGCTACCCCACCGCCCCCACCTATATATAGTCTGGACTGCCACTCTACACAAGACTTCCCATTCACAAAGTTAACAATAAAATACACAAGTTCTCAAATAAGTCTAATATATTTTATTACATTATTCTACAAGGTTGTCTAATATCGGCAACAGCAAACCCCTAAAATCAGCTTTGTACACACACATAGATAAACCTGTACAATCAGAAACCTGTACAATCAGGAACCTTGCAACATTCAACATCACCACCACAGCCGTGTCAGTTCAATGTATTGCACTGAAACTGACAGGAGCTACAGGGTTTCAGGTGGCGAAAATACTTTCTTCAGTGTATATACAGCCAACAGATACTTATAGCCTACAACCCACAATTCAACCAATGCTCCCATCACACGTTATACAGACAATATATCAATAAAACAGAGGTACTTAATAAATGTCAATCTCGGACAAATCGGATCTTAGTTCTTGCTTCTGACAACAAAGATCGGAGGTCATCCAATAGTTGATCAGAATGACCTAGCTTCGGACCAATCACAGCGTTGCTTATAGATCGGAAAAGTGGAATGTGCTATCTCTGCTAAACGTCAGTTACGGTCATATGTCCGATTCCAACAAAATCATAATTTATCTGTTAATGTGACAAACATTTAGAAAAGGTTCACTTTCCATAGCCACTGGGTAATATTGCTATACAATCTCAACCATCTAGTAAACATTCTGTAATTTTCCTTTTTCAGTTGTCAAATTTGGAATCAGACCTGTGAAAATATTTTTTAAAGCATTAGTTTGGAATGGAATTTTAGTGACTATAGCTGCAAAACGCTGGTTTCAGACCGGCCAATGTTGTCTTCTTTTTCATAATGCCAATAGCCAAAGCTTGCAAAAACATTGCTCTGATGTACATGTAATCTCCATTAGCCTTTCATCAGATCTTTGTTTAGCCATAGCGAGAACTAAGATTGATTTTGATAAGATTGAGATTGACCAACTGTTTCCATACAGCCTCTTGCACAAAGTTCATCGATGAAGGAGGTTAACAAGTCATATCAAACATCAATACATTAACATGATGAAATGAAAATGAAGATGTTTGTCATGCGATTTCAAATATTACCAATCAAGGTATTCATTTTAAATATATTTAATAAATATGAATATTTTGATAAATTTCAAAATAGTTTTGGGGCTAAGAACTTTCAATACAGTAACATCAAAATGGCAAATATCTGTATACATGGAAGTGCTCATATGTCAAACAGCATAAAATCTAAATTAAACTTTAAAAAATAAGTTAATTTTTTGTAAAAACATTAAATATTGCACCTGAGGTATTAACAAGTAACGGAAAGATCCATCTTGAAATATAACTCAAATTTCATCTGTCATGACCTGTTGACAATCACAAGATGGATGCTGATCGAATTTCTTTACTATTATTATCATTGTTATACTATGGTCAGGTTTTAAAAAGCTTGAAAGAATCTGCTGATTGGAATGTAACATGACCATAGTGAATTCCTCAAATTTAACAAATTAAATCTCCATCTCTCGATACAAAAAATCTTTTAAAGGAATATTTACAACAGTGTTTGAGTTTGTTGAATGACCCGTACAATATTTTGTTAACAAATTTACTAAAATTTAACTTAAATTTGAATAAGAAAGCACATTCAATAGCAAAAGAAATATTTGCTGAATCTGTCATTGATCTGATGTTAGTGCATTAGTGTGAAATAAAATAATATTTAGAAGATATAAAATGAAATTTGAAATGTTAAATCATGTTTTAACAATTTATGGACCATCTTATCTCCTAGTTTGGTAATGGCGATCATTGTCCAAAAATACAAATATTTTCATGAGATCATGTAAAATGTAGAATCTCACAATTACAAACATAACAAGATGTACACTGATGTTAAAAGATGAATTTTTGCCTTGCGCAGCATATAAATTGAATGAAGTTCTTTTCCATATCTCAGTAGCAATTTTGTTTATAAAAACAGTTTTTAAGTGCATCATGGTGTGGGTTTGTTCATGATCAAAATTATCATTATCTGATTAGCAGTAAGCTGTACACAAATACTGAAACTTGTCTTTGACATCTCTCCAGTGGGACACAAATACATAATAAATACCTCCAAAATATTAAGCAATTCCATACTTTATAACCCAATTAGTATTTGTTAGTTAAGCAAATTCAGTTAGAAATTCTACCAATAAATTAACAATAAAACAAAGTTATAATAAAACTGCCTGTAACAAATCAATGTTGCAACATTTGACAGTTCATTATATATTGTTTTTTTAAATTTTACAAATCTGAGACAGTTTACACAACAACAGCTGGCACAACGTCGAAACTGCTTTACATGTATTATTCAAGTACTGAAACTATTCAACCATGAAATAAAGTACAGTTATGCATTTTATAAAACTAATATCCATCTTCAGATCTTTGAACTGTTCAGTAATTCTTAATGAAAATTAGATACATATTCAATTCGACATAACACATCTTTTGTCACTTGAGGTATCACATCTGTGTTGTAGGTTTGCATCTTTAATTTAATCATGTTTTAAGGCTTGTTAAAATAAAGTTCTTGTTACTGAAGACTAAACCTAATTTTCATTTTATTTTTATGCACTTATGAATGCACTGCTTCAGATCAAATTTCATTTCTGCAGCAGATTCCTACTTTTTTATCCCTCCATGCTATGCATTGAAGTCTAGAAATGCTGGCAGTCTAATTGACACCAGTCTCTTGTCAGCACATTTTTCTTAATTCTAATGATCTAAAATTATGATTAAACCAAAAATGTAAGAGACTTAGGCAAGCCGATAATTAATCCTCCCTCCTTACCAAGTCTGTCATGAGAAACAAGAAATATTTTAACAGGCCGAACTTAAGATAGTCACACCGAATGTACGAAAGTCAAACTCCATCCCATTTGCCGATATCACATCATGACTCGAGGAATGCATCACAACCCACATGATAACTTTCTACAGCATGGTCAGAAATTATCAACATGTCTGGAAATGATCAAAGATTTCAAAACAGCACACCGCATCCTATCCCCTCTTAATGTTATCTGATGGTGCCCAAAGACCGTTGAAGTCACTTCTAATGTCATTTAAATCTGATATTTTACTACCACACAATACTGCATCTGCATTAGAGTGAGTGAGTGAGTTTGGTTTTACGCCGCTTTTAGCAATATTCCAGCAATATCACGGCGGGGAACACCAGAAATGGGCTTCACACATTGTACCCATGTGGGGAATCAAACCCGGGTCTTCAGCGTGACGAACGAATGCTTTAACCACTAGGCTACCTCACAGCCCCGCATCTGCATTTGAGAATTCCTTCAAAGGTCAGGTGAACTTTCTGATCTAATCAGTGTCAAGACAGACAAATTCCCATTACAAGTGTGCAAACCATTTATCACAGTATGTCCAATTTCTGTAACCTGAAACTAAACTTGACCTGACAGTTCCAAATGTATAAGATAAAGGCTGCACCTTTATATACTTCATATACTATGCAACTTTTCCCGAAATACCATCGCATCTCCCAGTACACGAATCCAAATGAGAACACCATCCAATATTTGCGTTCTGCATGCATTATTATTTTTTTTATGAAAGTCATTGTTTCTATAACAAGGAGACAAAGAAATTAAGGTATTTTTTCAAAAGATGACATCAGATTGGGATAATGGGGAATACGACCTTTAATGCAGATGTGGTAACTGAATAGTATCGTTTTGGAGTAAAACATCAGATTTGAATGTGATTGGGACAATTTCCAGATAACTTGACAAACATGTTTTTCTGTCTAACATTCTGCACATAAATGGTGAGGTCGGTGTCCAAACTGTTTCACAACTTCATCTACTTGCACTGAAGACATGAAGCATTTGCAGCACTGCAATACCTGATGAGATGAACTACAGTCAAGATTCAAAATCTTTTAATCTTCACAACGATACAGTCACCAATAGCTCCAACACAAGTCTCACACACACAAAGTTATACAAGCAGCAAGTCCCTCAAGCAGCAAGCTACAGTACAACCTCTTAAACAGACATCATCTTTGTCAAATGTGATATATTCATGGAAGTTTTTTGGCTCTTGGCTTTTTATTTTGGTTCAAATCCAATGAAGGATAACTTGTTTGGATTATTCGCTTTGGATTGTTATCTTATTTTTTGACTAGTTTAATTGTTCATGTACCCAAACACCATTACAGCTTCTGAATCGTTAGTATGTTTTATGAACAGGGGGTGCTCTCAAAGCACTTTTCCTGAATCTGTGCGCTAAATTATGTGGGGGCATTCATTCCGTGTCACAAGGACATATGGTCAGAGTTATCTGCCCTTGAATTCAAAATGAGTCTTGGTTGAACTTTTAACTGCTCAGTAAAACATTACCTTTATCACATTGTTATTCTAAAACCATTCTAAAACATTCTGTACAACTACCACCATACAAAAAATTATCTATATAAATTCACTTCAATCCAGAACTGAAATTTTACACCTATATTATGTCATGTTTCAAAAGCAAATCAACAGTCCCTTTTCCAAGTGAATTTTTTTGGGGATAAAAATGAAATGTTACAATGTTACATTCAACATGAGTATGTTACAGACTTGAGTTACACAAGGAAGTTATGACGCTATGTGTAGTAAGCATATCTATATATACTGACACCCCGCTACACACCCATTAAGCTATAATCCAATGCTGTAACTCTCCAAACAATTTACACAATTTATCATGTCATAAACATACGTCATACCTCCTTGTGTCACGTAAATGCCTATCAAGTGTTTACCATCAGCTAAACTCGACAACTACCTACAAGCTACAATAAGATTCATTTAAAAAACTCAACTCAGTTAAGGTAAATATAATTTGCCAAATATTGACGAAAAATGAGAACAAATACTTGGGATAACAAGAGTCCAATTTTCTAGTTTAAGGTTGTTTCATTTCATTAAGTGCACAAGTACTTGATACTGATTTCCTTGCAAGTGTAAATAACATGGTTGCCATGGTAACTGAAAATGTTAACATGCTGATTCCCTAAAGGATAATATTGTTCAAAAGACAATATTCATCAAGCATATCCAATATCTTGAACACTGATTCATTAAAATCAGTGTCTTTAACATGAGGAAATCATATTTTCAGTCACGAATATTTTAACACAATTTCATTTCATCAACAAACACAAACAAAGATTACTGTTAATAGTCTATATTTGACAGATAGTCTAAAATTAGACTTGTTGCAATTGTGTTTGTCTATGATGAAATACTACTTCCACAACTTATCGTGTATCATCCAAGTTATCAACAACACAACAACCTAATAAATACATGTTTGTGAAACCAGAACAAAACACTCAATCAAGGGACAAAAAAATATGTTTGTTTATTTACCATGCTAAAACATGAATGGGCAGCTTCCTGTGAAGCCGTTCACAGAAACTGCAATGCATAACAATCCGACTTAACAACTCAAGGTTCAGTGGGCAAGGAACTACAAAAATATAAACAACTTGTACAAACAATTCATAATGGAAGTTGATGAATATACAATTTCAGAAAACAGCCCCTAAATATTGACAAGTTTACAGAAATAAAAAATACTGCCATGCAAAAAGAAAATATAATTCTTATAAATGGCAAGAAATTTTCTATCTTATATGAAGGACAAGCATGTTTCTACACACTGTATTGCATTCACAAGTAATATCAAGTCAATTCTTACGTATTTCAGACAAACCTATTTTCTTGTTCTTAGTGAAAAAAAATAATAATCTGGTGATCGATATAAAATATTTGTTTATAACACTCCTGCCAAATTCTGAATTTAATCCTGCTCATGCAAGAAATACCAGAACTTAAGGCACCGGTGTTGTCTCTGTCGATTGGTCCTAACCAGAACAGCGAAGAGAGTGAGTGAGTGAGTATGGTTTTCTGCCACTTTTAGCACAGCGAAGAGAGTGAGTGAGTGAGTATGGTTTTCTGCCACTTTTAGCAATATTCCAGCAACATCACAGCAGGGGACACCAGAAATAGGCTCCACACTTTGTACCCATGTGGGGAATCGAACCCGGGTCTTCGCTGGACGAGCAAACACTTTAACTACTATGCTACCCCGCCGCCCAAAGGAGTGAGTGAGTAAGTTGTGTTCGATGCTGCTGCCGTACTGTAGCTCTATCAGGACAATGGCGCCAAGGTGAGTGAGCCTATATTTGGTACAAATACCCTAGTACCACACTGCATACCAGGGTGCAGACACAAAGAACGTGATTCACGTAACCCACAAGCAGTGTATGAAATAGGCCAAAACCCCAGTCAGACATCAGGGCTGGTAACTTCAAAATGTTACCAGTCCAAAATGGATTTAACCAGACCAGAAACCAAGATATGACTCAGATGTATATAACATTTAAATTTTTTACCAGACCATCGGGCTGGCTAGCTGTAAATCTAGACCATCTGCTGAAATCTAACCCGTCTCGGGCGGTCGGACGGGCCTTATTTCATACACTGCCCACAAGTCTAGTGAGCCCATATTTTGTGTGAATAACCCAAATACCCCCCAATTGAAACCCTAATGCCCTGTTATTCATGCCTGGCAAATAAATTAAAACGGCATGAATTTTGATGCAAAGACGACTTTGTTAAGAAATAATTACAAACAAAATGACTAGTAGTTGAGCTTAAACTTATCAAACCAATAACTGGGGCAGTTATTTACTGACTGACTGAGTTAAGTTTTACGCCGCTTTTAGCAATATTCCAGCAATATCACGGCGGGGGACACCAGAAATGGGCTTAACACATTGTGCCCATGTGGCAGTTATTTACTGAATAACTACTGTAATAATTATAAGATTAATAATAGTAATGCCCATGCTTTTCACTGCAAACAGTAAAATTAATTAAAATAAGTCTACACTTTGCTATTTTCTTTGTGAAGAATATCAATAGCGGAAAGAGCAGTTCTGAGGGAAAGTTCACAATGGACTTCAGTTTGGCTTAGGGTTGGCAAATTAGAGTTACCTGCCCTTGTGGAAAAGAAATGGTTGACAAAGGGGGTTTATGAAATGAGAAACATTATTAGACACAATTCATGCAAATTTTTTAAACATATCTGAATTGTATATCATCCTCAAATCATGTCAACCTAGCAGTACAAATGGTGTATAAGTCCTTACAATAACATAATGAATTTGTTACATAATGTATAGCAACTTGACAGAATACCAACTTTCAAATTAAAGTTTGCTGCATTCAAATCTCCGGACCAAGTCATCACTTATCATACAAGCGATTACTCATTTTTTCCAGTTTGAAAATCCACATAAAAATGCATGGTATTTCAATAATTGTAATCCATCAAAATGCATTGTATTTCAATAACAGTAATCCATCAAAATGCATGGTATTTCAATAACTGTAATCCATCAAAATGCATGTTATTTCAATAACTGTAATCCATCAAAATCCATTGTATTTCAATAACTGTAATCCATCAAAATGCATTGTATTTCAATAACTGTAATCCATCAAAATGCATTGTATTTCAATAACTGTAATCCATCAAAATGCATTGTATTTCAATAACTGTAATCCATCAAAATGCATTGTATTTCAATAACTGTAATCCATCAAAATGCATGTTATTTCAATAACTGTAATCCATCAAAATACATTGTATTTCAATAACTGTAATCCATCAAAATGCATTGTATTTCAATAACTGTAATCCATCAAAATGCATTGTATTTCAATAACTGTAATCCATCAAAATGCATGTTATTTCAATAACTGTAATCCATCAAAATGCATTGTATTTCAATAACTGCAATCCATCAAAATGCATGTTATTTCAATAACTGTAATCCATCAAAATGCATTGTATTTCAATAACTGTAATCCATCAAAATGCATGTTATTTCAATAACTGCAATCCATCAAAATGCATTGTATTTCAATAACTGTAATCCATCAAAATGCATTGTATTTCAATAACTGTAATCCATCAAAATGCATTGTATTTCAATAACTGTAATCCATCAAAATGCATTGTATTTCAATAACTGTAATCCATCAAAATGCATTGTATTTCAATAACTGTAATCCATCAAAATGCATCATCTGTGACGAAAGAAAAGCCAACTGAATCATCATAAGAATTTTGGCCGCATTGAATGTTAAGGTTTTTATTTGAACAGCAAATGTTTGGTGAAACCCCTTGAGTGCTGTTTGTGCCAACGCTATTTAGAGGACTAAGAACCAGCTTCCCAAAGTACACCATCATTATTCACTACCTAGAGTCACACAAAAACTATCACTACCTCTCAGCACTGTTCAAGGGGTTCTATCTACACACATGAATATGACTATGATGATGATGATGATGATGATGATGATGAATAGATGATTAGGTGTCTTACAATAAAGTTAAAGGTTAAAAATACCCAACATTTATTTCCTGCTATCAAAACCCCTGGCCCTATTCACAAAGGAATTTTAGCCCTACGACTATCACAAGTCTGTGAACAGGGTCCAAGTATACCAGTGTGTCTCAAAAAGTAAATATGTTTTCATGTGCATGTGATTCTTATGCTTGGTGATGAATAACCCATGGTTGAGCCAAAAAATATTCCTATGTTTTTCATTCATAAAAAAATAATACAAATTATGAATACGGAATAAGTTTTGTTCAAACCTATTTCATGACATATATTGTTAAATAACTTCAGCCCTTCCAAGGAAAGAAAAACCCATTCACAATCAAATGAGTTATTCTTGTCTTACACTATGTCAACACATATTCCTTTTATATCTTAAGTATCTTAAAAACTATCAACGATTATTTCAACAAAATTAAAAATGATGGGCGCAAGATCACTTTGGTAAAGCCGGCGCTGCCAACATTTTAACAAATTATACCCTGTTGAAAGACTTGCTAAAAAGTTCAATAAGAAGATCAATTTCAAAACCTTCCCTACAATGTAATGGTATTGGGATGGTCCAAACTGGGATGATATTATCTTATCATAATGAGAATTTAATGTGGGCAGGTCCATTGTGAAAGAGAGTAGAAAGGTGAAATTCCTAAGCTGTGAAGTCATTATGCTTTCTTGGAGTCTTCAGGAACGACCATGAATAGTTTCTGCAGCATCGTTGTAGTGCTCTCTGAAAATATACAAAACAGGAACAGTTCAGTAAACAGGAATTTGAAAATTGTGAACAGTGAACAGACTAAAAAATTCAAGTTCTGTGCAAACCGTAATGGTAATGGCTTCAGGAAAGAGTGAGTTTAGTTTTACGCCGCACTCAGCAATGTTCCAGCTATATGGCGACAGTCTGTAAACAATAAAATCTAGACCAGACAATCCAGTGATCAGCAGCATGAGCACCAATCTACTCAATTGGGATATGATGACATGTGTCAACCAAGTCAGCGAGCCTGACTACCCTTTCCAATTAGTCACCCCTTATGACAGACGTGTTACTGAAGATCAGTTCTAATCCGGATCTTTGCAGGTCGCTTCAGGAATGAGGATACTGCTCAAAGTCAATATTTAAGACATACAGCAATATTCCAGCTATATGACAGCCATGTTTAAAACAGTGAAACAGGACCAGGTACTCAAGTGATTGATATAATGAGCAGTTGGGAATATAATAGTAATGATAATAAGAGTATTTGTATAACGCTGACATCCACCACACAAGGGTAATGCTCTAAGTGCTGACAAGCGCACTAGTATACTGAGGGAAACAAATAAGGGAACACCACTTCGTGGCAGTGTTGCTTTACTTATTCTCAGATTTCCTCCCACAGCGCTATTCAAAGCTGGTGATGAAAACTGGAAAATATTAAAGGAACGCTTCAATTATCCTGTGTTCCTTTATTTGTTTCTCTCAGTATATAATCTGGTTATTATTACCCTGGATAACCCGCGCTGCCTGTCAGGCGCTACAAGGTTAATAGTCACATGACTTATCCCACCGGGTACCCATTTTCTGCTGGGTGAACAGAGACATGTTTGACTAAACTCACTTGCCAAAAGGTGAGACCACATGTATCTCCTGTACTTCATTGTATATAATGACACACAATCAAACAGTTCTGCCAGACCCTTAGATTAGTCTTGTCAAGTTATTGATGGTTACTCGACTGAGAATAGAACTAGATCACTAAAAAATATGTTGCATGTAAATTCAAAATGCAATGGTTATGCCATTTAGCCTTCCACAACCCTCCAGCTGACTTACCCATAAAGTTGTCAAAGATCTGAGGCTTGTTTGTCCAGTACACAAAAATAAAGTACACAGGGACTCCCGTGGCGATGATAGCACAACCAATGCCTGCAACAATGTGAGAAAGGATGAAGATCATTTAAAAAGGAGAAAGGCTAAATTAATACCATTTTTTTTTTTTGCTATACAATTGAACAATATTGATAAACTGGTCATTTATTATAGAGAAGGGCAGGAATATAAATGTTATATAGAGTGTGTGTGCGTGTGTTCAGCAGGACAGGTGTGGTGCAGGGATGAAAAAATGTAATGTGAGTGAGTGAGTGAGTGAGTGAGTGAGTGAGTGAGTGAGTGAGTGAGAGAGAGAGAGAGAGAGAGAGAGAGAGAGGTGTGATATGTATGTGGGGGTGTAAGATGATGTGTCTGTCTGGTGCAGTGCAGGGGATGTGTTTGTATGGCTGAGTGACTTGGGTTTTACGCCACTTTTTGAGTGAGTGAGTGAGTTTAGTTTTACGCCGCACTCAGCAATATTCCAGCTATATGGCAGCGGTCTGTAAATAATCAAGTCTGGACCAGACAATCCAGTGATCAACAGCATGAGCATTGATCTGCGCAATTGGGAACCGATGACATGTGTCAACCAAGTCAGCGAGCCTGACCACCCGATCCCGTTAGTTGCCTCTTACAACAAGCAGAGTCGCCTTTTGTGGCAAGCATTGGTTGCTGAAGACCTATTCTACCCCAAATCTTCACGGGTCCACTTTTTGAAATATTCTAGCAATATCACAGCTAGGGTCACCAGAAATGAGCTTTACATATTACACCCAGGTTTTCGGCATGACGAGCAAATGCTTTTACCGCAAGGCTACCCCACCACCCCCTGTATGTGTGTATGGGAGGGAGGGGTGTACATGAATTGTTACAAGGTACATTTAAGTACATGGCGGTACAAGGTACATGATGGTACAAGGTACATGGCGGTACAAGGTACATGATGGTACAGGGTACATGATGGTACAAGGTACATGATGGTACAGGGTACATGATGGTACAAGGTACATGGTGGTACAAGGTACATGATGGTACAAGGTACATGATGGTACAAGGTACATGGTGGTACAAGGTACATGGTGGTACAGGGTACATGATGGTACAGGGTACATGATGGTACAAGGTACATGATGGTACAGGGTACATACCTGTCTCTACTGGGCTGGCATAGAGGGGTAACACAACCAGATAGATGGAACACAATGTGTACAGGATCGGCCAAAACAGGTGAACCTAAAATTAAAATATTATAACAGTTACTTAAAAAATTCCATTTGAAATAATCATAAGTAAGTCTTATTCGCACATGACTGATAAACAACCTTTTATTTTGTAAACAAAAAAATCAACATGATGTTGAAATTCCAGTTACTTGCATATAAAGGGAGATAATTTGGGTAATGGCAAAACTTATTTCTTTGAGTGGCGTTTAGAATTCGAAGTTGGTGTGATGAACGAGGAGAGTTCTATGGATATACAACTTCTTGATGATAGTGACAATACTTGCTTCACCGAAACGTCGCTTATATTAATAATAAAGAAGTTGTATATCCATTGAACTCTCCCCCCATTCTTCAAAGCTTATTATCTCCCTTTGATCATATCTGAAGACTTGCATGCAACCATACTCAGCAGTGAGTTTAGTTTTAAGCCACTTTTAGCAATATTCCAGCAATATCACAGCAGGGGACACCAGAAATGGGCTTCATACATTGTACCCATGTGGGGAATGAAACCCGGGTCTTCTGCGTGACGAGGAAACCCCTTTACCACTAGGCTACCCAACTGCCCTCCGCAGTCTGAACACACATTAAACGAAGTTCTCTGTCACCTGAATAGCCATCACGACTATTAGTTAGTTCCATAAAACTACAAAAGTCAATATGTCTGCTGTGGTGTACCTTGATTGGTCTCGGCATGTCGGGTCTCTTCCATCGGAGGTAAAGCAGCACAACAACAGACAAGCCAATGGACAGCCATGTTGCAAAGCCGACGTAGTTGATGAGGGCGTAGATGTCGGAGGAAGCCAGATACACCAATGACAGCAGCCCCTGGAGACATCACGGACATGGTTAGTTTGTGTCAACAATATGTCTAACACGGCAGAAAGTAAGATCTTCTTAAGGAGTGCTTCACGGTCTACTCATTAGTCGTGGTCCGATTAATTGAAATAATCGAAGATTGGTCGCAGTGACTAAACGACCAAGCAATCGATCATGTTTTCTCATAATCGAACTCAAACGATTCTTGAACACTGTTTGCATTAACAATATTTTTCACATGGTTGGTTTTGTCTCTTACATTTTATGAGCACTACAAGCTCGTTCAAAGTCACAAATGAATTTATCTTAAAGACTCCCAAGAAATTTATGTTCCTAACATACTAGTCATCTTTTAAAGATGTGCAATTTGCAAAAACACCCCAAAGAACTACATGTTTTTCCTTTATGTTTTTGTGTATCAACAATAATAACCAGGAAAATTTCATAAATGATGCTAACCAATTATTTTCGATGCTTGATCGGTTGTAATGAACCAATCATCAACTATGTGATTTTAACCACTTCCCAACACCACTACTCATTGTAACTTGACTCCTGTGTACGACTGAAAGACAAGTGTCTGTGCAGTGAGACTGATCAATAAATGCTAGACCATGAATTTTGAAATAACATTGACTCCCAGACTCCTTTAATAAAATTCAAATTACATATTTTAAATAAAATAATATTATTTGATCTTTTCATAGTTAAATTGAGTTCATTTAGAAAGCCGAAACACATTCCCTTTTAATGAATAGGATGCATTAAGGTGAATGAGCAATGGGAGTTTTAATACTGGACCTTTTCTAAATCAGATCCCAAATGAAGGCCTTTTTCTAAATCAGACCTAGAATTTTCTAAATCAGACTCCGCGGCTGGCCTTTTCCCAATGAAGACCTTTTTCTAAATCAAAACCCAATGAAGACCTTTTCTAAATCAAAACCCAATGAAGACCTTTTCTTAATCAGACCCCGTGAAGGCCTTTTCTAAATCAGACCCCGTGAAGACCTTTTCCAAATCAGACCCAATGAAGACCTTTTCTTAATCAGACCCCATGAAGATCCCATGAAGACCTTTTCTAAATCAGATCCCCATGAAGACCTTTTCTAAATCAGACCCCGTGAAGGCCTTTTCTAAATCAGACCCCATGAAGACCTTTTCTAAATCAAAACCCAATGAAGACCTTTTCTAAATCAGACCCCGTGAAGGCCTTTTCTAAATCAGACCCAACGAGGACCTATTCCAGTCTGGACCCTGTGAAGACCTTTTCTACTTCTCACCACCTGAAAACCTATTCCACTCTGCACCCCTCCTCCATCTTCCCCCCTTCCCTCCCCCCAGGGTACAGGACTCACCATGAACAGCACAGCCGGAAGGGGGGTCATCTTCTGAACTTGCACCATGCTGAGAATCTGAGGCATGTGTCCCTCACGGCCACCCACGTAGAACAGCCTTCAATCAACAGGGAGAAGGTAATGTCATCCAAACCATTGTCAAGTCAGGCTACGTCTATACAAACTATACATTATTTCTGCAGATCAGTCTTACATAATTTGTCAACTGTAGTCATCTGAAGGTACCAAGGCATGCATTGAGTTACACTCAGCATTAGCTGTTTCTTCAAACAGTAAGCTTTTGTTGTTTGTTTGTCTAAAGCCGCACTCAGCAATATTCCAGCTATATGGCGGAGGTCTGTAAATAATCGAGTCTGGACCAGACAATCCAGTGATCAACAGCATGAGCACCGATCTGCACAATTGGGAACCGATGACATGTGTCAACCAAGTCAGCGAGCCTGACCACCCGATCCCGTTAGTCGCCTCTTACAACAAGCATGGGTTACTGAAGATAAATTCTACCCCGGATCTTCATGGGTCTCAAGCAGTAAGCAGTATTTATTCATATCACAGGCATTGGATAGTTTATGGTAATTTTTCAAATGAAGTTTAACTAGAATATCCATTGATATGCAGTAAACTTGGACAAAGTACTGTGACTAAGTGGATGAGAAAGCCACAATAACTCGGTGCACCTAGTGGCTGCAGGGGTTGTATGATCCCCAGGGAGTTGAGATTGATAATACAATGTGCCGCTGAGATTGACATCCAATGATCGAGGGAAGAAAATACCAGCACCTTGAGTATGAACTAGTTGCCTGGATATGTGCGCTATAGTAATATCCTATGATGATGATGATGATGATGATGATGATGATGATGATTCGTCATCAGGTATACTGACACGAAATCAACAAAGTCAACAAGCAGTATATCCATCAACTGCCTCTTAAGACCAGCACAGGACCATCTCCGTGGTGTAGTGGTTAGAGCGTCCGCCCGGAGAGCGAAAGGTCGCGGGTTCGATCCCCGACCGCGTCATACCAAAAGACATTAAAATATGGTACTTGTTGGTCCCTGCCTGGCGTTCGGCATTAATGGGTACAACAAGGACTGGTCGGCTCGGAGTCAGTATAATGTGTCTGAGTGGGGTATTCATGCTTCACTGCGCCGTGGTATCTCAGTGGGCTAGCACTATAAAACCAGCTTCAGTCTGGCCTAGTACAGGCAGCCGCACATACACATACACACGCATGCACGTCGTCATATGAGCGAAATATTCTCAAGCACGACGTAAAACCCAATTTCACCTCACCCACCTAAGACCAGCACAGAAAGGTGGGGGGATTTCAATATGGGATAGACTCAGTTGAGTGGTATTATTAACAATTTCTTACCTGGAGGTAGTGAAGAGGATACCATTGACGCCACCGAAGGTTGACAGCGACACAAATATTGGCATAATCCACCACATAAAGCCATACAGCCGCTTGGAAAACATCTGGAAGAAAAATCAAGAGTTACCTCCCTTGCATTATACAGTAAACATCTTTCACGCGGTTTCCAATAATGGCACTCGTGTATTTAGTACTTTTGTTTTCAGTATCTTGTATAAAAAGTTCTCAACTTTCTTCTTATTAGGTGAGACGAAACAAATTCTGTCTATTTCACTGATTTAAAGAAAGAAAAGGAGCCCTGAGAATTTCTTCATTTACCTGAAACTGTGGAATTTAGCCTTGCCACATATTCTAGACTTGCATGGGCTTTCTTGGATTTATCTGTTTCAGGGTCTGAATGACAGACTACAAAATTGAACTTTCTTTTGAAGAAATAAACCAATTTGGTGTGACATCCCAAACCAATAATGGATGCTTACCACAGCCACTGCAGCCCCGCCGACAATCTCCTCCCGCGACACGGTGGTGAAGTAGGCGACGTTGGTGAGTGTGTAGATGACGGTGACAAGGATGATGGAGATCCAGATGGCCTTGGGCAGGTTCCTGAAACACAATGTTGTCAAAATATTGGTGGCATTATGACTGTGGCTTAAATTGAAAAATCTGTTGCCATCGAACCCACGCTTTAGCCACTAGACGAACCCCACTGCCCCTGCCCCTACTCCATCATTTGAACCTAACACTGACGATCAAATATCAGAACATGTTCTTGATCCGAGTCGGTGCAAATAGCATCAAAATTGCTGAAGTGGCGTTAAGCAATGTTTACTGGCTTTATTCACTTGAGCAGAGAATAACGACATTCACTTTAAAAAACAACATTCAAAATTCAAATCCACAAAAGTTCAACTTCAAAAGATCATGTACATTTGAATTAAAGAACTCACTTGTAAGGATCTTTCAATTCCTCTATCACAAAGTTGAGGTAGTTCCTGAAACAAAGAGATAAAAATTATCTCCAAGAAAGTATCCTGTGAAAAATTCATGAAATTCTTTTGTATGTATGACTGAATTTACCTGAAACAGGATCGTTTAAACTAAGTTGTAACTAAAGCTTTTCTACATGGACGGCCACTTTAACACAAACTGACTTAGCTTAAACTGTGTTTACATCTGAAAAATGCAGAAAAATATGCTTTCACACTCAAAAGTCACATTCTTATCAAATATGCAGCTGCGACCTATCGGCGGTGTGTTTAAGCCTAGTATGGAAACAAGCCTCACCATCCGTTGTAGGCAAACAGACCCGAGTAGAACGCTAGTGATATTTTCCCAATATCTGGTTCTGTGTTTTCAAAGGGATTCTTGAAGCTGTCAAACTGACCTGAAAACACAACATGGCTTTCATCAATTACAGAATTAATATGCTGCCCTTTTTCAATAAAAAAATATCAGCAAGATTGCATTTTGTGTTCTGTGGAATGATAAAACTTTGTTAAAATTACAGCATTTTTTGTGACGTAAAGTCAAACGTTTACTTCTTTCATTGAATGCTGACTTAATTTCTTTCCCAGGCTTCAATGTAATGAAACGAAATCGTCCTGAGGCAACCTTAGGCAGTAACGTTGTTACACCAGACAAAAACAGGTTTCACCTGCTGCTCAACATAAAATTATTTTTAATGTTTCAGTTTGGGTATTGATTCTGTACAGCATCGTTAAAACAAAATTATTCTGCACCTCGGTCTCATTCAATCACTGTCCACGTTTTCATCAGAGTCACTGCTCTATGACAGTTCCTAATCATTCTGTTTCCAGCTGAAATCTGTGTTCTTTGAGCAACAAAATATTAACATGCAGTGGGTGCAAGATGGTATGAATATGAGCTTGCACAATGCAGTTTCTGGTTGCACGCAAATGCTACATAAACCCTATTTACTGAAATAAGTCACTCTACAAACATGATTCTATTCTAGTATATATTTTGATTGGTAAATCTGTTATTAAATAATCTTTGGAAACCATGGTGACACATACCTCTACCCAGTTGCACGAACCCAGTGATGACGATGAGTATTAACGCTAACACTTTCGCGTACGTAAACACGTCTTGGACTCGCGTTGCCCATTTCACGTCGTAGCAGTTGACGAAGGTCAGCACCACTGTAACAAAAACACAACAAATGAAGGTGATACAAAATAGGCGTTGCAGTTTTGTCGAAGATGCAGAAAAACAGTGTATCTCCTGACTCCGGTTGCTGAAATGGTGTCTCAAATCACAAAACTCGCTATAGACAAAATATACAACAGACCACACTACGTATGATATGTCACCTGTGGTCCTTTAAAAACGGTACACTTTGGAAGTCTCGAATGGAAAATATGTATATAGAACCCTCCATTGTAGACCCTTCATCTGGAGTATCTACAAAAGTGAGTGAGTGAGTTTAGTTTTACACCGCACTCAGCAATATTCCAGCTATATGGCGGCAGTCTGTAAATAATCAAGTCTGGACCAGACAATCCAATGATCAACAGAGTGAGCATACAAAATGGTTGTTTCTGATACAGACTTCTTCAATAATTGATATTTGTTTGAACCATAAAAAGGCATACAATATCCCATTATAACATAACCCCAGATGTTTGAGTACGAACAGCGGCATGGCAAAAAGTTACACATGGTCAGTCAATAATTCCACCTGAACAGCTGGATACAGAATAACATTCATAACAATGTTTCAAGGGTTAAACAAATATTTACAAGAAATACAAAACATTTGCTGCAACATGAGCACATAGATATGATACAACAGCTGTTGAACACAGCTGTCCGATGTATGGAAACATAAACACGACACATGGACGAAAATAATAGCAGCTTTATTTACTTTATTAACAATAAATCAATTCTTTTCAAATTATTTTCAAAATTAAATAAAAACATAACATTTTATCAACTAATTTGATCAGCTACTCTAGTATAGAATTATTAAACAAATAGTCCACAGCGGTTTACATGATGCAGAAATGTGCGTTCAGTATGTACAAATGTAGAGAATGGACACAGAAAAATAATTCGCTGCGTCCAGAAGAATGCACAATATTATTTATTGTACCCACAACACATCTGTGACTTTGCGCAGTTTTTGTTGTTTCTTTCAGAGCAGTTACGTGCATCATTTCATCCATCAGTCCACATGATCAATGATTCATTCCAGGCACTGAAGATGATATCAAAACATACAGTTCTCTAAACCGTTACTTCACAAGACCCTCGTATTGCGTGTAAGGATCCTATGGAAAAAGTTTACAGTCGTTTGACTAAAGAGTCGAAGCAAGAGAGAGAGGTGCAAGTCGCGAGAGAGGATAAGTTTAAAAATCTAATAATTGGGGGTCCCCAGGACTCCCACGTTTGTGAGTCGAGGTACAACCCTGGGTCCATATTGTCCTGTAAAAATACTAAGTGGGCTGGAGTTTAAGCTTCTGCCATGGCTCGTCAGCTTACAGTGGGAGGAACGGCTGAAGTGACGCATGTCTCAGACGTTTACCATTTCGGTAAAACCCAAAAACCTGGTCCTCCCTAGTGGTGAGAAACCAAAAACATAGTGCCCATGAAGGTCCGGGTCAGAATAAGCCCTCAGTAACCCATGTTTGTCAACTAACGTGATCGGGTGGTCAGGCTCGCTGGCTTGGTTGACACATATTATCATTTCCCAATTGTGCAGATCAATGCTCATGCTGTTGATCACTGGATTGTCTGGTCCAGACTCAATTATTTACAGACCGCCGCCATATAGCTGGAATATTGCTGAGTGCGGCGTAAAACTAAACTCACTCACTCACTCCAAAAAAACATAGCTGGGTGGTCTCAGGTAACAGCTTTTTGAAACATGGCTACATAGTCACAACACCAGTTAGTTTCTAAGGTGCAGACTGCTCTGAAAATGAACACAGAATTTCAATCATGAGTTATGTCTCATTCATAAAGATCCTGCGATTTGTCTGCATGTTTTTGCCGAAGATTCAATGAAAACGTCGCCCGAAGTCCACCCACGATGTTCTCATCACCGTGGTAACAACACGTAAAATGGCTTACATTCAGGTCAGACAGCGGGAAATAGTGTAATCCGGTACAATCCTCTGACCCTCTCATCAAAGACAGGCTGTATTGATTGAGATGCTCTTAATTGATTCACACATTCCAATCACATTAATGAATCGGAAATACAGAAAAGAACAGCCCCACGTCAATCGGAGTCTTTCAGGTCATTGAATTAAACCCCGCCATTACACAGAATTATTTAACAAATCGAACAGAAGAAAAGTATTCAGGCAGAAGGAACAAATCCATTTGTGAAATCTATCCCACCTGAGGGAATTTCATCGATTTGAAAAATTAAGTAACTAAAAATGGTGTGAAAAAGTGACCCGAAATGCGAAAATTTTAATATTCCCACGCATTATCATGTACAATGGGATGTTATGCAGTGCCGCTCATTATTTCCTTACATTAAAACTCTCAGAGGTTTACATCAACACTGGCCAGTGGAATAGTCCAGTGGTTAACACGTTCGCTCATCACGATAAAGGCCAGTTCGATTCCCCACATGGGCACAATGTGTGAAGCCCATTTCTGGTGACCCCACCGTGATATTGCTGGAATATTGCTACAAGTGGCGTAAAACCCAACTCACCCATTTATCCCATTACATCAACACTCCAAAACAATCAATCACTTTGTCTTGAATCAAAACAACAGATAAAGTACATCATATACTACAAAAATCAATGAAGTACCAAATAATATAACATTTCCGCTCATCTGAATCATAATGTTTCATAGCTGAAAAGTGATCTTGTCAGTACTCCTTCAAAATTCTCAGTACACCTCCACTTGCAATATGAGGTGTGTAAGTACACCTGCACCCCAAAATTATCTCGAAAACTAAATAAAAACTGCTGTACATCAATACGCAAGTTCCCAAATAATCACCGTTCATCTGAATCATTATGATTGATCTTCTACGTATCCACAAAACAAAACCACTGGCAGTACATCAATACGCCAAACTTCCAAACAAACCACTGTTGATCTAAATCAGGATACCATAAAATTATATCGAATATACCAATGAATCAAAACTTAAAGCCACGCCAAGTTTCAAACAATAACGTTTTCATCCAAATAAGTATGGCCAATCTATAATGTATTAGTAAATCCAAACTACAAACTCTACATGAAACGTCGAGTTTTGAAACAAGCATTGTTCAACTGAATCATTATCCAATTTTTGACCAGAATGACCTTGACCTCTGGAATGTCATCAAAGCAATTTGAAAGTCACCTTGGTTCGTCGACTCAAAAAACTGTCGCTAATCCCAATAACAATTAGCGGTTATTTTGAACCAGTCAACTACAAAATGACGAAGACATGTTTATCATTCCGTCAATACGTCTCTGAAGCGAGAATTACGCATATCAGGTCTTATTGATTAATGACGAGCTCTCCACTTGAAAACAGATCAGGGCCACAGATTTAATAACCCCCAGCACCCAAAGGTAGCACAGACGACAGAAGTGAAGGCAAGATCGATACCACTCTTTTATTGAATTAAAGCCAACATCTGGAGCTTGTAAGGCTGCCCCATTAATACACTGGCAGACGAGTGGGTATTTCAGTGAAGATACTAATTGAGGTTATATTTGGGTAGCAATTGATCCGTTGATTGCGGTTATTGTATGTTTATTTTGGCTTCAGAATACATATTCCAATGTGGCAACATTTCTTTGTTTACACTCAGGCTTTCTGTCATTTATTGTGCAAGTCAATTCAGTTGTCAATGTAACGTGGTATCAGGGAAGTAGTACTACCAGTGGGGCAGTGGTTAGGAAAACGTTACCATATACACAGGAAGTGAGACAAATCGGTTTACATTTCAAAGGTCTTCTCACTTATAAAAGATATAACCATGAATTATTAAAAATCATTATTGCCTAACAATGTTCTGAGACAACTAGATACAATTTAACTGACCATATTTATTCAGACTAATTAAATTGTGTAGGCAATAGCTTGAGCATGCACCATAAACCATCAACTATCTGTTTTCTGTTCAAGGTGAAGCCTGTCAGATAAACCTGAAGTTCAATATCCTGTTTAACAAGATCTATCGTGCCAACTGTAAAATGCTTGGCTAAATGTATTTGTGACCTATTTCTTCAGTTTCACAGTTAATTAAACTATTTCTTTATCAGAAAATGCTGAAAAAGTCTTTAATCCTCATTAACTGTGATTTATTTATCAACTGGTTCCCAGGAAGAAATGACATTTTCTTGGCCGACCTCCAAATGTCTGCCGAAAGGTCAACGCATGACCTGCCCAAATGTAACAGCCTTTCAAAACTATCAACAAGCACTTGACATCATGACACGAATGGGAGTGTAAAGTTAGCAAAACTGTACTGCAGCACAGACAGACACTGTTCAGCTACACCAGGAGGATTCTGGGTAAGAAATGATCCCAGCAGCCTTTGCTGGTCATGACGTGACTTCATGGATCAGCGGTCAGTGACTTGATTGGTTGCGTGTCATCATGCCCCAATGACATGGATCGGTGCTCACAATATCAATCACTGGATGGTCTAGTTAAGGTTTGATTATTTCCAAGCCGCTGTATAGTGAGGAAAATGTTGCTGAAAGTGGCATTAACAGATTAGAAAAAATATCTATCAAGAGCTGTTGTATTGTCAAGTACCTTTTCGTCAGAACGATTTAGTTACATCCGCATTAGCAACATCAGCATCAGCATCAGCAGCACTATCTACATCTACATCTGCACCTGCATGTGCATCTACATCTGCACATCCGCACATGCATCTCAGGGGTGGAATTAACTTTAAAATTGCTAGTGTACTCCGGAACAGTGGCACATGTAAAATCACTTGCCCTGATAATTTTTCCACTATACCGGCCGTTTTCTTGTTGATTTTTTTAAACAAACATAATTAACATTGGAAAGTAAAGTGGACACCGGTACAGTGTGATATACAAATTTGCTTGCCCGACAGAAAGAAACATTGGACTCGGACGTCGGGCAATCGGTTATTTCTACACCTGCATCTGCATCTGCATCTGCACCTGCATCTACATCTACATCAGA